ACACACAGAGAAACACACAATGCAACCATTACACATAAAGACAATGCATCCTTTGCACATATACACAGAACACACACAATGCATCCCTTACACACACATGCAAACACACACTGTTTCTCTTACACACACACACACACACTCAACACACCCCTTACAGACACACACACTGCATCCCTTACATACACAGAAACACACTTTGCATCCCTTATGCATACAAACACAGATCACACAATGCATCCCTTACACACAACAAGAAACACACAATACATCCCTTATACACAAACACTCACTGCTTTCTATCCCTTACACAAACAACACTGCATCACCTACACAAACTGGTATCCCCAGGAGCATCAGTATTCTGCACATTGAGATCCTCTACAGTAACACATAACACATCCCCTACACACTCTACTCCCTGTGAGCGAACTCATGGGTGGAACATGTAGGTGGCCTTATGGGTGTGTTTTATGGGCATACTCACCTTCAGGCCCTGGGGCCCAGACCTTGAGCTATGTAAGAGGCCCCCAAAAATGGAGCTGCTTCCCGTTCTCCCAGAACATTGAATTTTGTGACCACAGTTGCAAACAGCCTCCAGAGATCCTGTTCTAGACCAGTGGAGCCAGACTGCAGCCAGATCAGAGATCACCATCCTCATCTGATTGTAAGTAGCAATTCAGTATTAGAGACACTAATCTCATTTACTCACATGAATGGATCATAGTCCAGAACCACCGAAGTTAACAAAGTTGTTCTGGTGTCTAGTTGTCCCCGTAGTTTTAATGCAAACACACACCAAAGTGTACACCGGCATTAGTCATGGGTGGCATTGCTATGTTCGGGGGCGGCAAATCTTTCTTTTGCCTAGGGCGGCAAAAATGCTTGCACCGGCCCTGTGCATACAGTAAATAATTGTGCAAATATGTTATATTCTTCTATGCTGAATCAAATAAAGGAACAATACCCACACTGTTGCCCATTTTGATCTTTAAGATTCATCTTGAGTCTAAAACAAATCAGCTAACTTCTCAGACTATCATTTGAAGAAAATTCAAACTTTGGAGGATATGTTGTTTGTATTTGTTAAATACTTGTACTTTTAATTTGTTTTGCTATTTCTGTGTATTTGGAATAAAATTCAGAAGCTGGTCCATTTAAAACTTCTCTCTTGCTCTGAATAAATATGATACATTTTGTAATTGAAGGTATCTTAAAGGACCACTATAGTGCCAGAAAAAAAAAATGGTTTTCCTGGCACTATATAGTCCTTAGGTCCCCCTTTGCCTCAGGGCCCCCCTTCAGCCACTTACCTTTATCCAGCACCGGGCTCCCTCGGCGCTGGTGACCTCTCCTTCCCCTCCGACGTCAGCTCCCAAGTGGAGCTGAATGCACATGCGCGGCCAGAGCCGCGCGCGCATTTAAACTGCCCATAGGAAAGCATTACTCAATGCTTTCCTATGGATGTTCTGCATGCTCAATGCGATTTTCGCATTGAGCGTCGCAGAAGCGCCTGTCAGCAAGACAGCCACGAGAGGCTAGATTAACCCTGCATTGTAAACATAGCAGTTTCACTGAAATTGTTATGTTTACAGCTGCAGGCTTAAAACCTGGGGGACCTGGCACCCAAACCACTTCATTGAGCTGAAGTGGTCTGGGTGACTATAGTGGTCCTTTAATATCAGTGCTTATCAAGTCACTTACCTCTGCCACCAATATCTTCTCCAAGAAATGTGCCTGTAACCACCGTGAAGACCAGAGCCAGTGAATTACAGAGTGGGACAGCCAGGGATAGTTCTGTGTATGGGTAAAGAGGCAGTGGTGAGCAACAAATATCATAGAGGATTATAATTCAAATAATAATAGTGAAAAGAGTCTAACCTGCTGAAGCCAAGGTGAGGTAGAAACCCACTGAGCCACACTGGTTCATCAAGAAAGGGACCACATACTGCAAGATAAGGAGTGATATTGTCACATACAGCACACTGTGATAGTCATGTTATCAGGAGTGCCCTGGTGCCCTCCCAGAGCAAGTAGTCTAATGCGATTTTGTGAACGGTTGAACAACTTACCAGTCACCTCACCCTCTTCAGAATGCCCCTGGATGAAACAACCCTTTCTTTCACTCACTTAAATAAAGCACTGAGTACCCTGGGTGCTGGCTCCGTTTCCTCTGACATCAGTGTGGAGGGGGGAACCGAATGTGCATGTGCGGCGAGTGCTGCACACGCATTAGTCCTTCCTCATAGGAAAGCATTGAATTAAATTAGGGAGGAAAACATACAGCTTTAGAACTACATTTTTGTGTTACGAATACTATAGTGTTTCTTTAATTAAAAGGTAAGAAATTAAACTCCACTGAATTATGAACTACATTTTAAAGGGGCACTCTAGGCACCCAGACCACTTCAGCTCATTGAAGTGGTCTGGGTGCAATGTCCTATCACCTTTAACCATGTATAAACTGCAATCATTACCTGCTAGGGTTGACTCCTCCTCTAGTGGCTTCTTGCCAGACAGCTACTATAGGGACTTCTGGGCTCGAAGGCGACTTTTGGTCGCCTAAATGACGCTGGACATTCTCACGCTAAGCATGAGGACTTCCAGTGTCACCGGAACTGTATAATGCTTTCCTATGGGGAAATCCTAAAGCGAACTTGGCTATTGCTGGCAGGAGGGAGAAGCTTGTGCACAGCCAAACCAGTGCTGAGGGACATTGGCACTGGACCCAGGTAAGTGACAGAAGTGGTTATTAACAAAGGGGGAGCTTTAATGCCAGGAAAACGAGTTTGTTTTCCTGGCACTATAGTTTCCCTTTAATTGCATTATTTTATCTTCGTAATGTGTATCTAAATGATAACTTGATTCCTAATAATGCTCCAAATAATGCTCTGTTTTGATGCAACTCCTCTTCCAGCAATTGTGCAAATCTGATTGGGAAATTGCAGTTGGTCACCCAATCAGATTTTCTCATGGAGGACACTGGCCATTGCTTCTCTATAAAAGGGAGACATGCCCATACTGCTTTATAAAAGGACTAAGGGGGGCAGCGTGCACAGCAGAAGTAGAAATCTTCCCCTTCAGAGTAACTGCAAGTGAAAGTTTGCTCTCCCCTCCCAAACTGCGCTCGTTCTTTCTGACTTTTTATTTTTATTTTAAAAAACTGCATAGGATATGTGTTGGTTCAATAAGTGAGAAAATGGAAATTGCATTTGAACACACACATAGCAAAAATGACAGAATTGCTGTGTTCTTAAATTCTATTGTGTTAGGAATACAAAGTAGTATTGCTAACACTATAGAGCAGTGGTTCCCAACCCAGTCCTCAAGTACCCTCTACCAGTCCAGGATTTAGGGATTATCCAGTTGTGTCTAACGTGTTTGTAGAAAATAAAAAACTTTAGGCACAACAGGGTAATCCCTAAATCCAAGACTGGTAGTGGGTACTTGAGGACTGGGTTAGGAACCCCTGCTATAGAGCCCTCTCGACCCCAGGAATGTAAAGGGTTGACACACCCTTTATTTACTCACCGGATTCCAGCGCCGATTTCGGCAGTGGGTCGGGGCTCCACCTCCTCCAACAGCATCCAACTGGGGTGACCTAATGCACAGAGAGCGCATCAGGCCCTCCCCATAGGAAAGCATTGCCTCAATGTTTACCTATTGGATTTTACGGACGGGGACGTCCTCAACCAAAGTGTGGGAACATCCAGCATCAATTAGGTGACCTAGAATCTGGTAAACTACTGGAAGCGCCTGTAGAGGTTGTCATAGTACTGCAATGTAAACAATGCGACTTCATAAAATCGGCAATGTTTTACATTGCAGGACTAATGGGGACATGGATCCTGCACGCAGAGCACTTCCTTTTAAGTGCAAAACATGTGCTTATAGTTTATATTTATAATCTGTTGCATGTACTGCAGATTGTAATTGTTAGGGTGATCGGGTTTTGTCCATTTCTTTTCAGACTAAATTAGTCTATGCAATTGCTTCCTGAAAATCAATTAAGATAGACCAAAATGGTGCACAGATTGGCCACTAACTGCAAAATATATACTTAATACATGTTTTGTGTATATATATTGGTGTAATTTGTTTCACAGATTCAATGAGAAGTAACCAAAAGGGGGTATCGATTTTGTTTTTACTGCTCCTTGTTTCTCTCTATTGGTCACTTTTCATTTGATCTGTGAATGAAATAACACACGTGTAATAGGATTAGAAGCATCTCTAATATTTGTAGACCTCAGGAAAGGACCAACAGGGTGTGAAGCTGCTAACTGGGGTCACACGGGAATTCTGATAGAGTTGCAGCAATTCTTTAACTAATAAAATGCCACCACTCCAGCCTTGAGTCTCACCCTCCAATTGGAGATCAAAAACCTGGCTTCAGACAGTAGCTGCCGGATACTTCTCTCCTCCTTTACACGCTCCAAGCCCTCTGCTCCCTTCCGCAGAAAGGGGTTGGTGGCTCCCCAAAGGAAAGACACCAGGACTAGAGAGCACAGGTCTCTGACAGGGAGGGACATTGGCTGTGACTAGGCGGAGGGGGCTAATGCAGAACAATAGAGAGTCCAATAACAACATGCTCCTGTACCGGAAGTCAATGATGGAGCGCACAGCTTCCCAGAAACACACTGTAGCACGCACTTCCGCCTCCGACAACCATAGAGACTAGCGCAGCCCCAGCTCTATCACTCCAGCTTCCGGATCCTTTCTACACACGTTTGTTCCCGGCTCGGACAGAAGTCGAACCATGGTGAGTAAAGCAGGGTCACAATATCACTCGGTATATCTGGACCTGACCGAGGGGCCGCACCGCTAATGAATATGGAGAGTTTGTAGCCACCCGCATAGCCCGGTTATATCCTGAACAGCCATCACTGAGACTGCCAGAGCCTGGCCCTCTAATCAGCTGGGAGCCTGGATATAGCAGCCAGCACACTGAGTGTGCCTGGACCCCATCACACATACTATTCACATACAGGGTGGCTGGATCCCATCAAACATACTATTCACATACAGTGTGGCTGGACCCCATCAAACATACTATTCACATACAGGGTGGCTGGATCCCATCAAACATACTATTCACATACAGGGTGGCTGGATCCCATCAAACATACTATTCACATACAGGGTGGCTGCACCCCATCAAACATACTATTCACATACAGGGTGGCTGCACCCCATCACACATACTATTCACATACAGTGTGGCTGGATCCCATCACACATACTATTCCCATACAGTGTGGCTGGACCCCATCAAACATACTATTCACATACAGGGTGGCTGGACCCCATCAAACATACTATTCACATACAGTGTGGCTGGACCCCATCAAACATACTATTCACATACAGGGTGGCTGGATCCCATCAAACATACTATTCACATACAGGGTGGCTGGATCCCATCAAACATACTATTCACATACAGTGTGGCTGGACCCCATCAAACATACTATTCACATACAGGGTGGCTGGATCCCATCAAACATACTATTCACATACAGGGTGGCTGGATCCCATCAAACATACTATTCACATACAGGGTGGCTGCACCCCATCAAACATACTATTCACATACAGGGTGGCTGCACCCCATCACACATACTATTCACATACAGAGTGGCTGGATCCCATCACACATACTATTCCCATACAGTGTGGCTGGACCCCATCAAACATACTATTCACATACAGGGTGGCTGGACCCCATCAAACATACTATTCACATACAGTGTGGCTGGACCCCATCAAACATACTATTCACATACAGGGTGGCTGGATCCCATCAAACATACTATTCACATACAGGGTGGCTGCACCCCATCACACATACTATTCCCATACAGAGTGGCTGGATCCCATCACACATACTATTCCCATACAGTGTGGTTGGACCCCATCAAACATACTATTCACATACAGGGTGGCTGGACCCCATCAAACATACTATTCACATACAGGGTGGCTGCACCCCATCACACATACTATTCACATACAGAGTGGCTGGATCCCATCACACATACTATTCACATACAGGGTGGCTGCACCCCATCACACATACTATTCACATACAGGGTGGCTGGATCCCATCACACATACTATTCACATACAGGTGGCTGGACCCCATCAAACATACTATTCACATACAGGGTGGCTGCACCCCATCAAACATACTATTCACATACAGGGTGGCTGTACCCCATCAAACATACTATTCACATACAGGGTGGCTGGACCCCATCACACATACTATTCACATACAGGGTGGCTGCACCCCATCAACATACTATTCACATACAGGTGGCTGGACCCCATCAAACATACTATTCACACACAGGGTGGCTGGACCCCATCAAACATACTATTCACATACAGGGTGGCTGGACCCCATCAAACATACTATTCACACACAGGGTGGCTGCACCCCATCAAACATACTATTCACATACAGGGTGGCTGTACCCCATCAAACATACTATTCACATACAGGGTGGCTGGATCCCATCAAACATACTATTCACATACAGGGTGGCTGCACCCCATCACACATACTATTCACATACAGGGTGGCTGCACCCCATCACACATACTATTCACATACAGGGTGGCTGCATCCCATCAAACATACTATTCACATACAGGGTGGCTGCATCCCATCAAACATACTATTCCCATACAGTGTGGCTGGATCCCATCACACATACTATTCCCATACAGTGTGGCTGGATCCCATCACACATACTATTCACATACAGGGTGGCTGCACCCCATCAAACATACTATTCACATACAGGGTGGCTGGACCCCATCAAACATACTATTCACATACAGGGTGGCTGCACCCCATCAAACATACTATTCACATACAGGGTGGCTGCACCCCATCACACATACTATGCCCATACAGGGTGGCTGGATCCCATCACACATACTATGCCCATACAGTGTGGCTGGATCCCATCACACATACTATGCCCATACAGTGTGGCTGGATCCCATCACACATACTATTCACATACAGGGTGGCTGGACCCCATCAAACATACTATTCCCATACAGTGTGGCTGGACCCCATCACACATACTATTCACATACAGGGTGGCTGCACCCCATCAAACATACTATTCACATACAGGGTGGCTGGATCCCATCACACATACTATTCACTTACAGGGTGGCTGCACCCCATCACACATACTATTCCCATACAGTGTGGCTGCACCCCATCAAACATACTATTCCCATACAGTGTGGCTGGATCCCATCACACATACTATTCACATACAGTGTGGCTGGACCCCATCACACATACTATTCACATACAGGGTGGCTGGATCCCATCACACATACTATTCCCATACAGGGTGGCTGGATCCCATCAAACATACTATTCACATACAGGGTGGCTGGACCCCATCAAACATACTATTCACATACAGGGTGGCTGGACTCCATCAAACATACTATTCACATACAGGGTGGCTGGATCCCATCACACATACCATTCACATACAGGGTATCTGCACCCCATCAAACATACTATTCACATACAGGGTGGCTGCACCCCATCACACATACTATTCCCATACAGGGTATCTGCACCCCATCAAACATACTAATCACATACAGGGTGGCTGGATCCCATCACACATACTATGCCCATACAGGGTGGCTGGATCCCATCACACATACTATTCACATACAGGGTGGCTGGATCCCATCAAACATACTATTGACATACAGTGTGGCTGGATCCCATCAAACATACTATTCCCATACAGGGTGGCTGGATCCCATCACACATACTATTCCCATACAGGGTGGCTGGATCCCATCAAACATACTATTCGCATACAGGGTGGCTGGATCCCATCAAACATACTATTGACATACAGTGTGGCTGGATCCCATCAAACATACTATTCCCATACAGGGTGGCTGGATCCCATCACACATACTATTCCCATACAGGGTGGCTGGATCCCATCACACATACTATTCACATACAGAGTGGCTGGATCCCATCACACATATAGCGTGGCTGGATCCCATCAAACATCACTATTCACATACGTAATTAAATTAGCGTGTGTTTTTTGTTGTTGTAGTGACTATAACATTATTATAGATCACTTTTACTTGTCATAGTTGCTGCATAAGTTTTGCTTCTCTTAATGCCAGGGTGCTTTGCCATGTTAAAGGTATACAAAGCATCATGTGAGTTGTAGTTCTACAACAACTGGGGATCTACCTTTTGGGCACCGCTGCTATATACAATAGGTTGCATAGAATTTTGGGTTGGAAATTTACTCTTAAAGGATCACCCTAGCATTGGGAATAGAAATATGTATTGCTACCGTGCCCTAGTCACCATTTAGGTGACCTGACCTCACCTGCACTGACAGTTTATTTTATATAAAGTATTTTACTTACATTTATTCCTTTGCCATATCTCCACTGAGATGCTCTGCCTCTTTGGCTGAGATCACCAAGATTGATGAGCTCAGCCAGTGTGCATGCGCAGCAAAATGGTGGAGACCATCTGATTTAAAATGGTTTGCTATACCGTGGAAGCACCTCTAGTGGCTATCAGTATTACATTACAGACAAGTTAAACATGCAAAGAAAGCATTGCTGTTCCTGCAGAATAGCAATATTTTCTGATGCAGGGTTAAAATGGAGAGGACATCGCACCCAGAACACTTCATTTCACTGAAATGGTTTACATACCTATAGTGTTCCTTTTAATTTTTTTTAGGGAAATGTCCCTGAATTGCGCTATTTAAATTGAGAAATTGAATGCCAGGTTGACAGAAAGCAAAACATGTACTTTTAATGTACTCAAACTGCTGTCACAGCTCATTGCCAGGTTACTTTTTTATTTTTTAATATACTAGCCCCTCCCAACACAGTCTTGTAGCTGCTCCTGACATACTCACGAATACAGTGAAAGAAAGTTATGTCTGAACTTGGGATAGAGTCAGGGCCAAACGAGCATTGAGGCTGTCACTCGTAAGACTATGCTACAGCAGGCTTGCTGCTTGTGTGTTGCTATCTATACCGTATGAAATACTCAGAACTATTTTACATTAGCGACTATCAGCTGCTACGTTTTTCTTTACCATCAACAATAAACCTTTGTCATGGGCTGGAACGACAAACAGATTCACAATTCATTTCATTCTATGGCAGAATTTAATGGATGTTGTGCTTCGTAGTATGAGCAGGCAGGAAGTTATGTAGATTAACATATGTATATCGTGGAAGTCATAAAACTGCTCTAATCTGTCCTTCACAAAGTACCTTTTTAGTTTGGATGCTAGTGGTTTATAATCCTCACTGAACAATACAGAGTATGTGCAAGTGGGGCATCTGCTGGACTACCACCATATGCGCGCAGTTATGTGCTTTCATTGCCGGTCTTTGTACTGGGGTTTTTGCAGCGTCGCTGATTTTGCAAGATCTTTCAGTTGTGCATGTGCAATGTGGTTTTCTGCATTCCTAAGGATCAGACTTTGGTTGGCTAGATCAGAGTTCCTTCTAGGATAGCATGGAAAGTGCAAGGAAGAGAATTTTGTTTTTTTAAATATATACTTTTTGCAAAGCTAAAGATTTTGAACAAGACAATTGTCCCAGAGTTATGCATCCCACTGTAAACTGCTCGAAAATAGTTTAAATATTAAATGGAGGGAAAGTGCCAGAGGTCTCCAGGCACTGTAACTAATTTAGTGAGATGAAATGGCTATAGTGCCTACACAATCTCTTTTACATAGCAGAATGCATAGCTCCTTCAATTTAAAAAACAAAAACAATTTTTTTTAATTGCATAGCCGTGTGGTTTCCTGACAATTACATTGTAAATTGTGCCGTATTAATATTACAGATTTTCTTTTTCAGAGGCCCATCCTGCTTCAAGGCCATGAACGTGCCATCACTCAGATAAAATACAATCGTGATGGGGACTTGCTCTTTACAGTCGCCAAAGACCCTGTGAGTACTGCTCCTGACATAGTTGCCTTATTTTTACCTATATTTTATTTATATTATTTTGTCAGTGTTTTTTTGGTTTTAAAGATTACATGTCAGTATGCACTTACTTATGAGGACATTTTAATACCAAATATAACTGTATTTTTTTAAAATATTTTTTTTCAAAAATGATTTACACTTCTTTATAATATAGAAAATTATTCTATAATCTTTGTAGCTGGAAAGTGTTAACAGTTGGTGTGCACAGCAGTTGATCATTGTGGTTATTCTACAGGTGGTGAATGTTTGGTACTCCGTGAATGGCGAACGGCTGGGAACATACAATGGACATACGGGAGCGGTGTGGTGTGTGGACGTTGACTGTATCCTTAATCAGCAAACCATTTTTATCTTCATATTTCTGTCAATTATTATAGTTCACAGATGTGATGCAAATTTTGAAGTAAAACTGTAGTAAGTGATCTACATACAGAAGATTAGCAGTAGGGCATAGTTGGTTATTACATTAATATGGACTCTACACTAGCAATTGGCAAATTAGAAGTTATCACTGTGCGAGGAGAAAATCACTCCTAAGGAGTGTAACATTAACCCTTCAGGCTTGAAGTGGCTAATAACGTTTAAGTCTTGGCTAGTAGCATTGGACTTGAAATGTTAAAGTGACACTCCAGACCTTCAAAGCACTTTTCTGACGTGCTTTATGTGTGAACAGTGTGTCCTCCTATTTTTTTTTTTTTTAAATGAAAAGTGCAGATTTCAATAGAAATTGGCATTTTTAGAAATTAAACTTGTTACACCCCTCTGGCTGTCAATAAGAAAGCCCATGATATTACATCCTATTTAGTTTAGTGGAACTAAACTCCTGGGGCAGCAATTGCTTAGAGCACTTGCCTTGCAAAGACTTCTTATTGAGCTGCATTGAGACCTCTGTAATTGGTCAACCACAGAAAGTCCGGGCTGGGTTAGAAGGGGAGGGCTTGCAAAGGGTTCAGGCAAGCGATCTGCAACTTATTAAATGTATGCAGTCTTTAATTGGGGGTGTATCTACTAAACAGTAATTTTTGTTTTTCTATTTGGGTAGTGGAGTGTCCATTTAAGCCCTGGAGATAGATAAAGATACTCTTACTAAAAGAATGTTGCTTAAAGTGGGGGCAAAAAAATTCTCTATATTATGACTTAACTTTGCATCTAGGGGACACGCGTCATGTACTGTCTGGATCTGCTGATAACTCTTGCAGGCTCTTTGATTGTGAGACAGGTGAGTATTTCATATGCTACATTTCCCCCAAACCACACTAGTACTCTTATGATGTTTGACCCTCAGGGCTCCTGCTCTCCTGTGCTGTCTGACTGATATATATTGTACTTATTCCAGGAAAACAGCTGGCTTTGCTGGAGACAAACTCCGCTGTGAGGACTTGTGGCTTTGATTTCGGAGGCAACATAATCATGTTTTCTACAGACAAACAGATGGGATATCAGTGTTTTGTGAGCTTTATTGATCTGCGGGATCCTGCCCAAATTGGTGAGGATGTGGGAAACCTTGTTTGGCTGAGGGATTATTAATTACCATTGAACCTCATTGTAGTGATTATGGTACAAGGATTATGTTGGTGCCATCCCTATGCAGCATAGGGCATGCAGCACTTCCACTCTGCATTGACTTTTCCAGCTTTGGACTGCAATAATAGGGTGTGCCTTCTGGTGCATGTTAGTCTAGTGCTCAAATCCGATCATTGTCCTAAGCTGGGAGGCTTATGCAGAAGTTCACTTCTGTAGAAGATTAAAATTATTTATATAGCACCACCATAATCTGCAACGCCGTACAACATGTCAAACAATTCTAACAAGACGCGTTTGACAAATGGGAACAATAGCTGAAGAGTTCTTATGACTGCAGCCTTTGCAAGCTCTCCCCCTTTTCCCTGGAAGAGACTTAACAGTTCACGGGAAAATAACCTATAGCTTCTGATGCGAAGTCTGAGAAGGAAATATGTGGGGAAGGAACGCATGCTCAAGTAGAGTGCGTTTTGACTTTTCCTTCATGTAAGGGAAGCAAGAGGAAACCTCCCTTGTTTGACATTAATTTTCTATAAAAGTGCCGATTTCTCATAGCAAGCTTTAAGTGCTTTATGGGTGTGGAGTCATCGTTTAAAGCAATGATAGAAAAATGTGCTGATTTGCAAGTCCAGTAAAAGTCACTGATTTTAGACATAAAATCCACTGTTTAGTTTTATTCCTTCAGAGGGTGTATTTGTGTGATCCAAATATGAATTGTTCATTATCTTGAACCTCTTTGAGTTTAATGCAAAAGCTTAGTAGATCAAGTGTAAGCAGAGTCTGCATTTATATCTATTTATTCAACTTGTTGCTGCTAATAGAATATCACATTTGAAACAAGCTCATACTAAAGGCAGTTAAGTGCTATTGTTTTGACTTCCTTTTTAATTGCCATTAATGGAATTTCCATAGAAAATTGATTTGAAGAAAGTGAAGCTTTAAAACGTTTGATCTGGTAATAAACCCGTAGTCCAGCTTTAACCTCACTGTCAACTCTTTTTCACCGTTGCAGAAGATAATGAGCCTTATATGAAAATCCCATGCAGTGAATCCAAGATAACCAGTGCTGTGTGGGGCCCTCTTGGTGAACATGTCATTGCAGGGCACGAGAATGGAGAACTAAACCAATACAGTGCTAAGGTTAGTGCTAAGTTTAGACCTGCAATTTTGAAGAATTGGAAAGTAAATTGCAAAATGTTATGACTGCTTAGGTGAGCTGCAAAAAGAGCAGTTACTGTGTCTTAATGCTCTCCATTAAATGCTCAACAATCATAAACAAATATATAATAATGTGACGCTTCACTCCTTGTAATGTCTTGATTCTTTGTTCCTATGTTTTGCTTAGTCTGGAGAAATTGTCAACACTATCAAAGAGCATTCTAAGCAGATTAATGACATTCAGAGCTCCAGGGATATGACTATGTTTATCACTGCATCCAAGGACTGCACAGCTAAGGTGAGAGGCATTTTATAGGGGTTTTTCTTTTAATTTTCATCAATGCGCTGTGAAATATTAATGATTTCTTGCTTTAATACATTGTTGATGGTGCTCCAGTTAGCAATCTAATGTTCAACAGCATTTCTTTATAATATATTGTGACAAAAGTACTCCTTTCCCTTGGTACCTTGTCCTGGGATTGGGGTGTTACACACAGTCTTTTCAGGCTTTAGAGACACTTCACACGCTGGATGAGGTAAACTGACTTGCTCTTTTATTGAGGTTCCAAAATAAATGCACAGTAAGGTATAAAGGTAACAAAAATATATCAAACAAAAGCCTTGCTCTTCTGAGCACTAACTAAACAAAATAATCAGCTAACTGGGTTGGATGGCTTGTCCATTTCCCAACATAAACATAAACAGCCTTACTGCTTCAGGGTTTTCAGCTCTCTGTTTCCACTCACAGAAACCAAACACAATCTCCCTTCTTCCTTGGCAGGGGAGTACTTAATAGCACTGGTAATTGACAATCCTTTTCAGGTGAGTTAGATTAGGATTCAAACTCCAGAACTGGACTTCTCACCAAGCAACTTCCAAAATGTGGAGTGGAGCACTGGCCCACCCTACTCTCCAGGTGCTCCACCCCAGGGCCCAAATATACACATATTTAAAGTGCAACATTCATTAGAACATAACACATTTCCCTGGGGCTAATTACACAAAGTAAGAAGCTTGCAAAATCTGGGGAGGTATATAGGTTCCTTCCAGCACAATTCCTTGCTTTCTGTCACAATATATATTTTTATACAGAAGTTCTCTGTGATGCTCATGAACAAATAGTGTGGTGGGAAAAATTCCAAATCTCTCTTTAACAAATTAAACCTGTTTATGTATTTCATTTCATAATTGGACCAGAAGGGATTATGGTAAACTCATCTGAACAGTGTGACTTGCCCCATTGCCGCAGAAAACAGACACCCGACCTCTTAATTTAATAATAGCCCCTTCTGTCTTACAACATACCAATATTGTTATACGTACCAAATAAGTAGACCTTTTGGAATAACAATATTGAAAGTGAAAGTTGTCAATTCTTCACCCCAGTAATTATTGTTGAATTATTGAATGGTGTTCAAAGGTTGGGGGGGTTCTGTACACATGCATGCTTTTTATTTAAAATACCAGAAACGTATTGCCTTAACTATACCTTCTAGTAGTGGCTGGGCTTTGGGTGGCCAGGGGCCCCTTAAAATTAACAATGAATGGAGGGACAGTGCTAGGGGACATCAGGCACTATAACCTATTTAGGAGTCAATTAAATAATTTTTAGATAAGCTTTTGAAATTAAATATTTATTTTTATTTATGACTTTTTTTTGTAAATATTTTTTTTATAAAAATCATTTGAAATGCTTATCCAAAAATATTAGAAGTTAGAATGCCTAGTGTCCCTTTAAGGTTTGTTTTTGGAAATAACCCTTCTTTGGAGAGTTTTATAAATTTGCATTTCTGGTCATTAAGTTAAAGGAACACTAGTGTCAGAAATAAAAACATATATTCCTAACACTATGTTTAACTATTTAGGTCCCCGGCCTTCCTTGCATGGAAAATGTGACTTTTATCCTACGGCACGGCAAGATCCACCTGGCTTCACCTCCATGGCTGAATTAATATAACATGAAGCATTAGAAGGCTTTTGTGCATGCACCTCAAAGAGCCAATCAATTAATCTCTATGGGGAACATTCAAAGCCTCTATGCAATGCACGGACTCCCTGAAGGCCAGTGCTGCACACTGTGCAGCACTAACCCAGGAAGTAGCTCTGGAAGTGACTACCACTAGAGGTGTTCCTAGGCAGTAATATGTATACACTGCATTTTCTTTGAAAAGGCAGCATTTACAGTGCTCAGCCTGCAAGGACATGCTATAGACACACAAAAATACTGCATTAAGCTGTAGTAGCTCTGCTGACTGTAGTGTCCTTTGAAGTAGATTTGTCGGTTTTCTTGTAGAATGTTTTTGTTATAATGCACCAATCTATTTCATAACACACTGCACACTTTTTATCTTCCATGCAGAAGAATGCCGAATGTTTCATTTTTGTTCTTTTTGCAGCTATTTGATACTACAACACTGGAACATCAAAAATCTTTCCGTACAGAGAGACCAGTTAACTCTGCTGCCCTGTCACCAATATATGACCATGTAAGGAAGCGGTTTGGTTTTTCATATAGATAGTTAATTTAATGCAATTCTCTTGTTGGCCTCTGACTCTATGTTTTGCATGCAGGTTGTTTTGGGAGGTGGACAGGAAGCTATGGATGTGACCACAACATCAACCAGGATTGGGAAATTTGAGGCCAGGTGAGCTTATAGTATGTGAGCATATAGTGTTCCCACAGTGTGTAGACAACCATCTGATCTCTTGTCTCTTGTAGGTTCTTCCATGTGGCCGTTGAAGAGGAATTTGGTAGAGTGAAGGGTCATTTTGGTCCAATTAATAGCTTGGCTTTCCACCCAGATGGCAAAAGGTAGGAAAAGATATTGTGTGTATTTGTTAACATAAGCCTGCATTTACAGGGTTGTTTGCTAAAGTGAGAATTGTTAGGAATTAAAGTGAATATCAAATTTAAGTTCAAAATAGCTGAACTTCATTAAGTTAGCTCTTTTGGTCTAAAATTTGAAACTCTCTTTGCTGAATAATTATGACAGTGTTTTTTTATTAATACATGTCTACTATCTCTTTGTAGTTACAGCAGTGGAGGAGAGGATGGATATGTCAGAATACATTACTTCGACCAGCAATATTTTGATTTTGATTTTGAATGTTAAGATGACTCCCGCTTTCGGACAAATTATTTTCTCAATAACAAAACTTTCCTACTTGGCAGTCCACACCATGAGTTTAAAAGTCTCCAGTTCCAAATTGGGATAAACACAAAGGATATGACTATTTATAAAATTCAAGAATTTTACTATATCCTATATAAGACTTTATTTTCTAAACCCATATACTTGTATTGTTTTTGCCCCTGCGTTTCTTATGGGAATTTGCAATTACATATGGTATAGAAATAAATTCCATCTGATGCGTAGCAAAATTAGAAACTGAAAATTTGTTTTGAATAATACTAGACTGTCCAGTGCCCACTGGTATCCAGTATTCCTTTAGATTTATTCGCTTGCTTTCCATCTTGATTTGTGCATTTTATCTTGCCATTAAGGAGTGATATGTACAGTCTCTACCTTGCTTTAAGAAACATGTTTTATTAGAGGGAAGCCCGTTGCCATAACACTTTTGTCTCCATCATACAACAACTTGACATAAAAAGTTCTAATTCCAAACTCGATTTTTCATTGTGATGTAATTTCTGAATGTTTGCAAATTATATTATATGAAGGAAAAGTCTTTTATCTCTAGCGGTCAGTGGGATTTGCTTTGCTCAACAAGTTCCAATATACGTTGCCAGGCCAGTTCTGTGTTTTTTGAGGGTAGCAGGTACCGGAGGAAGAAACCTGTTGGAAGACGGAGAAAATTAGATTTATACTGTGCTACTGTTCTAAGTCTGCCTCAATAATTCTCACCTCTTCACACAGTCATTCTTACCTTCCCACAGTTGTAAGCTTTGTGGTGCCACTGATGGCCAGATGGTAAGGGGGTTTGGTTTGTACATAGGGTTCAGTAGCTTGGGCCGTTGCTTAGATTCATTGAGGAAACCCCACAGGGAGAGTGTTCGGTCTTGCACCTCATAAACATTCCTAATGGAAAAGTATATAATTAACACCACTTGATGGCTAGCTATATTTGAATAACTGATGTAAACAAATATTATACTCCTGATTTGTGTAGGTTTGCAGAAGGTTATATCTACATATTTTAAAACTAGGTTGAATACACGAGTTATGGTCATAAAACACAGTTGAGGTGGATGCAACTCAAGCATGTTAAAGGGACATCATAGTCACCAGAACAATTACAGCCTATTGCATTTGTTCTGGTGAATAGAATCATTCCCTTCAGGCTTTTTGCTGTAAACACTGTCTTTTCGGAGAAAATGCGGTGTTTACATTACCGCCTAGTGATAACTCCACTGGGCACTCCTCAGATGGCTGCTAGAGGTGCTTCCTGGGGCAGTCCTGCCTAGTGTGCAGCACTGCCATTCAGTATCTCCACCCTCTGCATGCAGACACAACTTTCCTTGTAGAGATGCATTGATTAAATTTGTCTGTCTGAGGGGATATTGATTGGCCAGGGCTGTGTTTGACTTGTTGGCTTTGCCCCTGATCTGCCTCCTTGACAGTCTCTGCCAATCCTATAGGGAAGCATTGTGATTGGCTCAGACCACCACTTCTGATAATGTCAGCAGACAGAAGCAGTTCACGGGCAGAGGTAGCAGCTGCAGGCTTGAATACAAGTACGATTTTACTATATTTAGGGGGGGCTAGATGGTGGTTTATACACTATAGGGTCAGAAATCTGTTTGTTTGTTTCTGACCTTATAGTGCTCCTTTAATGTAAAAGCACTGGTAAAGTTCACTAAAGCAAACCGTCATATGACAAATGACTAAAGTAGCATTGTCACCTGACCCTGCAAAATGTGTATTTTATAAAGGTAAAATCTTTATGAAATACTCATATTGACTGTGTTGGGATTATTCATATCCAGTCAAAAGATATACTGAGACAAAGTTTGTCTCAGTATTTTTTTTTTTCCTACGCCTTACACTTCTGGACACTTAGCGGAGTTACCTCCTTCTAGAAGTGTCAATCCCCCCCACTGCTGCAGGGAATTGACTCTGTCTATGATGGGTCTCGTGGGATCTCAGTGCTGTACTCTTACACATTAAGCTGGTGGTGCCCATGAGGGACAGGGTCAAGTAAGTTAAACTAACACCCCCATCTGGCCACTGGATCCCAAGCGGCAATATCACTGTCCAAATTATGCAAAGTTCACAGATGGTAACAGTGCCACTTTAAATGCTTGCTTCCATAAAGGCAGGATGCTTTAATTTGTGCATTTTTAGGAACGTTAGGTCAGAATCGTTTCTTAAAAGAACACTCCAGACCCCTTAAGCTCTAACCTTGCTAAAGTGCTTTGTGTGTAACGTTGGCCTTTTTTTAATTTTTCAAAATAAGTGTAGATTTAAATAGAAATTGACACTTTTTTTTTTTTTAAATCAATTAAACTTTTTACAACTCACCATATGTCAGACAAACTGTTTTGTTAATTCAAAGATGTTTAGAGCAATGAAGCCAAACTCAGGAGGCTGGCAATTGCCAGCAAAAGGCTTGCCATTGAGCTGCATTGGGAAACTGATAAGTTTGAGCTGAATTAAGAGAGGAGTTATTAAATTTACCCTAATGAAAAAATGCTTGGATATTTTTTATTGTGGGATTATCTGCTAAATAGTCAATTTGTATTTAACAGGGGATTGTCGCATTTTATAGTCTTTTTAATTAATACAATGAATGTTGAAATTTTTTTTTTAATTAAAAATACCAAAATAAAAACCACTGTTTCGCAGATATATCACAAATTAAAACATGCATGTATTTATGAATTTTTTGCATTTAATTTTGTTCCTGGAAGAATACCTAGAAATAACCCCATAAACTTAAAGGACCACTATAGGCAATATAAGCATTGAGTAATGCTCTCCTGTGGGTGGTTTGAATGCATGCACATTTGGAGCTGATGTTGGTAAGGGGAGGAGAGGTCACCAGTGCAGAGGGAGTCCGGTGCTGGATTAAGGTGATTGGCTGAAGTCTTATTGCATTTGTTCTGGTGAGTAGAATCGTTCCCTACAAGCTTTTTGCTGTAAACTTCAGATAAAAGGCAGCGTTTACATTGGCCCTCGCACACACATAAATATTAGGGGAATCCCAAATGCAATCACAACAGAGGAACTGCCTCACTACGTTAGGCGCCTCCTGTCTAGTATACTCCCCCACGCAGCTGCAAAGAAAATCACCATAGATGGAATCTACCGGCTCCCGACCGACACACCTGAAATCCCCTGCAGCTTGAGATGTCATTCTAAGATGCGTAACAGTTCAGGCCAAGCTTCATCTCATGGCGGCACTCAAGGACCGAACACCACTACCCTTTGAGGACTCAGAGCTAACCTTTTACCAGGATTTATCGAGGGCCACGATACTATGGCGCAAATCGTACGGCCCGGCCACCACACAGCTATGTGCTGCAGCTATAGCCTACAGGTGGGGAGTGGGTGGGCTCCTTGGAAATTACCTGCGCAGGGACAACACAAGTCCTCACATCGCCAGATGAAGCCTCCAACTACCTGAAAACCCTCGCCGAACCAGGCTCCGAAACGCCACAGGGAGCACATGGCCGCCACTTACACCCTGGGAACAAGTGAACTGGGGTTTCAGGTTCTTTGAACACTAGACTGCTTGCAAAACCCAAGATCTGACTAAGTCAGACTATTATTCCATACCGTCCTCACCCCACTGAAGGAGAAACTCCCAGATGTTATTTTAATGTTTCGTGTTTACTATGATATATATATTTTTTTTTTCTGATCTGACTAACTCACGGACATTCAGGTCCCTGGGCGTATAGCCCACATAGGCTAGGGGTCCCCAACCTCAATGCAGAGGCAGAGCAAGACACCCTCAATGACAGCACAGGTACAGCTACGCCAGACACGAACACAAAGACTATGTCCCTGGCTTACTACACACACACACAGCATGATAGACACGAGCATGAAAGATTTAAACACCCACAATGCTCCTCTGAGGGCATACGACCAGACAGACATACAGCTGATACAAGACACCGTAGTGCCTTTGAACCACCACTCCTGTCCAGCATTCACACCCTACCACGATTAGCTAGTCCCAAAGTAGACTACAACCTATCACACAGATTACATAGCCGAATATCACACAATACTGGACCAACTCCACTGTGTAGATGTGATTAACCAAACTGTTAAATTTTCCTGTTATTCCTTATTGAATAACCTAATGTGCTATATACCTCTATTGTCACAATATATTACATCATAGCCTGTTACCACTGAAATGGCAGCACGTGCCTGTTTGAAAATGCTATGCAAAAAAAAACAGTCCTGAATGCAGTTGCTATAAAGAGCAGAATCGAAGGATAGAGAAGAGATCCGGATTAACCAAACTCTGTGCCTTCGAGTGCACCTAATGATTTATTAAAATAAGTCTTTACTCCCTGAACTTGCCGTCAAGGACACTTCAACTATCAGGCTGAAAAACAATGATCAACTATAGCCACAACAAGATATGTTAACTGTGCTAGGTGCACTATATATTATATATTACACTATATATTACATATATACACATACTGCAGTATGCTAAGCAAATCACAACGGCAAATAAGTGGGATACAGGTAGAGCTCCGACGTGCGTTTTGCTGGTCAGGTGGCTCTTCAATTTGGAATGAGCATCCAAACTCTTAGCTCTTACAACAGGTGCTCATAATCCCATTATACAGCGCAGCAGAATTTGTTGGCGCTTTATAAATAATAATAAATGCGATATTCCCCAATAAGAGGTCCAAGATTTGATCCAATAAAAATGCAGGAAGAAAGGAAGGGTCTGGAGTCAAACAGGCAGAGACGGAGAGCGGCCCATCCGGTTGTATCCTCTCAAATGTAAACAATGTAGCTTCTGATTGCACATCGGAAAATCTAGATGTAATTAGCAACCAGGACGAGTATTGGGAATAGTAATAGAAACATCCCAAGGGCTAATTAGTAGGAGAATGTAAAATTAAAAATGATCTGTTAAGGAAAAAAGGCAACATATTGTCAAGGTAACTAACCAAACTTAATTCCTAAGGGTATCTGTGATTAATTGGAATAAAGGTCAATATATGTAACAAAAAAAACTATACTAATTTAGGTATTGGTTTATAAAATGTCACATTAAGTTCAGATGGTGATTCCAAATAGTTAATTAAGGTAGAACACACCATAGGATTCCAGGGCAACCATCCAAAAGTCGTGGGATGTAAAGTATAAAGATCCGTCAGTGCTGAGGACCTTAAGTAAGTAACTTGATCATCAAAAACCAAGTCATGATTGGTTCCAATTACCCAATTACAGCTCCTAAACTTGATCAATGGAATAGAAACCATAGGAAATAGCCAGTGCAATGAAATCAAGTGTCTCATTCAAAGAGCCAAGAATAAGTAATTCTGGTTAAAAATGATCATAGTAATGCGCAGTGGTAATTGTAAATAATAATGCAAGTTATCCATAGGTATACTGGGCAAATCAAACCAGTACTAGAGACAAGGACATTCTACAATATGTCTGACCATAAATATGGAAGAAGTCATGACAAGAATCGAAAAAATTATCTTTGATGAACACAACCTTATATTAGGACTGAAAATTATTACACTAAATGCAATTACTGATCACCTTATAATAATCATCTATTTTACAATTTTTGGCGTTCACCGTGATGATTGATATCTGACACAATTACATGTTGGTGTTAATATACACATTTATTTTTACCTTTTAGTAAAGTATTACATCCCTGTATATCTAGTTACGGCTAACTGCCATTGTGGCGAAACTAGCCTCCCCACTGGGCATTGGAGAAGACTGATTACCAGCCTCCTGCCATGTGACTATGGCCCCTGGGATGTATTGCCCTTTAAGAAACTTATTTGGGCTTATTGCATTTTGAAACACTTTTTCTGTTCATTTGAATACATGGGAAGGTGTGCCCCTGCCCCGTTTCCTGTCTATTGTTCTCCAGCAGGGCGTTGTCCCAGGGACACTGCCAGACCATTTGGAACTTGCTGTTTTGCCCCTCCTCTGTCTCTCATCAGCCGTTGCTCTGGTTTAACCCCATGGCGATTTGATTGTGTACGTGGGATCTGAGCGCTGTTCAGATATAGTGAGTGGATGTGGGGGTTCTGTTCAGTATGATAGGAATTATGTATTTTTATGTGTTTACTGTTGTTGTGAATAGAGCTATTTTCTGTATGTTGGAGATAACTGGCTTACCACACCCAAGCCATGCTTGCAGGCGGTCACAAAGGGACTTCCAACTAACTTTTGACCCACTGGACCAATTTGTATGATTTTGATGTATGTTTGTATTTGGAGTATGCTGATTCTGATGTAAATGTTAGTTTTATGTGAATGTGCTGTATACTTTTGGAGTTATGAATATTGTGCAAAACTGTGTATTTTCCTGCCTGTGATAATTACATTAGCCCATTGTGGAAAAGTGGGAAGTATCGGTGTAGCGCTCTATATTAGTGGATATGAAAAGAAAACAAATAAAGGAAAACCTTGCTGTACCTTGATGGATAATATATACTAATGGATAATCCAGAGTAGTCAGGTATACCTTAAATACAAAGCACAAATATACAAAACATAGTGTAACCTGTATACAAAATGTAAAAAATCAAGTGCATAAATAACTCACTCACACTTTTCTGAGCTAATGTACTAGCTCAGGTATGTGCGCCTTAGGGTCCGTAGAGGCGACCCTTCCCCTCCTTTTCGTCCAAATGGTCTCCAGGTATATAGCCCTAGGTAATAGGTATAGGAGGAGAAAATAGCGTAGTACAGTCTGATGTATATAAGGTATATTGAATGAACAATACCAATATACTCACAAACCCTGAGCCAATGTATCGGCTCGCTTCATAAGATGTATGTGGTTAAGGACCACAATCCTTCTTTGTAATAGCAGGTAGGAATGAAAGCCGTAAGTGTGATAAAATATATATATATAATTTATTGTATAAAAAGTATTACATAAATATAAAAAATACACTATATCAATAAATCAACACTTGTGGCTATAGTCCAAAAGACAGTATAGTCTGCTCACTGTTCATCCAGGACGCGTTTCACCAAATTGGCTTCCTCAGCTGGAAAAAATGTGCATGAGACTCCAAGGACTCCTTCCTGCTTTTATATCCAATTGATTAGGGATTGTAGCTTGTATTTTTCGCGGGCAATCTCCATGGTAACGGAGATGCCCTGTGTTACAAGCCTCTTTTTCATCCGGTTACTTCCGGGTATGATCACTTCCGGTTTCGGCTGATCTTGCATTATGCGTTCCACGGTGCGTTCCACGGTGCGTTCCACCATGCGTTCCACCGGGCGGCTGTAATTCTAATGTCCCAAGCTATTTTCAAAAGTATTTTCCTCAGGCAAATCGTTACCAACAAATCAGAAGGGCACAATAATATTGTTAATAGTCTAATAGAGGCTGCATGTGAAAAGGCATAAATATGTGGATCCCACACATATAGTTCTATGAGACAAAGTTCATATCACAACTTGTATAGCATGCAGATGAAATAACATATATATTGAAAACATATATAAAACCTTAATTGGTTTATACATAGAGAGAGTTGTAAATGATATTAAAATATATTTTATCAATGAGTGAAACCATATAGAATAATGAGGAGAAAGCAATTTTGTGCATAGATATTGAGTCCTAAAAACTCTTATTCCAATAGATGCACCCCATAAAGTTGAATAGATATATCTTTATATAAATAGGGAGATGCCTAAAAATTTAAACTTATACATAAAAAGAGCTACAGAGAGAGTGGTGTCATGTGGTGACAATAAAAAATAAAACGTTGAGAGATAAAAATTAAAAGATCAATCCGCTAAAAAATGGCACATTTCAAAATCGGAATTTAAACCATTTGGGATGAGGCTATTCAGTTTAAAAATCCATTCCATTTCTACTTTGCTTAATTTTGAGTCAAAATTACCTCCTCTCCAATCTTTAGCAATCTTATTAATTCCTAAAAATATTGTACCTTTTATCTCACAGTTATGGTGGATTCTATAATGTAAAGACACGCTATGTTTTTCAAAACCTTTACTAACATTAGTAAAGGTTTTGAAAAACATAGCGTGTCTTTACATTATAGAATCCACCATAACTGTGAGATAAAAGGTACAATATTTTTAGGAATTAATAAGATTGCTAAAGATTGGAGAGGAGGTAATTTTGACTCAAAATTAAGCAAAGTAGAAATGGAATGGATTTTTAAACTGAATAGCCTCATCCCAAATGGTTTAAATTCCGATTTTGAAATGTGCCATTTTTTAGCGGATTGATCTTTTAATTTTTATCTCTCAACGTTTTATTTTTTATTGTCACCACATGACACCACTCTCTCTGTAGCTCTTTTTATGTATAAGTTTAAATTTTTAGGCATCTCCCTATTTATATAAAGATATATCTATTCAACTTTATGGGGTGCATCTATTGGAATAAGAGTTTTTAGGACTCAATATCTATGCACAAAATTGCTTTCTCCTCATTATTCTATATGGTTTCACTCATTGATAAAATATATTTTAATATCATTTACAACTCTCTCTATGTATAAACCAATTAAGGTTTTATATATGTTTTCAATATATATGTTATTTCATCTGCATGCTATACAAGTTGTGATATGAACTTTGTCTCATAGAACTATATGTGTGGGATCCACATATTTATGCCTTTTCACATGCAGCCTCTATTAGACTATTAACAATATTATTGTGCCCTTCTGATTTGTTGGTAACGATTTGCCTGAGGAAAATACTTTTGAAAATAGCTTGGGACATTAGAATTACAGCCGCCCGGTGGAACGCATGGTGGAACGCACCGTGGAACGCACCGTGGAACGCATAATGCAAGATCAGCCGAAACCGGAAGTGATCATACCCGGAAGTAACCGGATGAAAAAGAGGCTTGTAACACAGGGCATCTCCGTTACCATGGAGATTGCCCGCGAAAAATACAAGCTACAATCCCTAATCAATTGGATATAAAAGCAGGAAGGAGTCCTTGGAGTCTCATGCACATTTTTTCCAGCTGAGGAAGCCAATTTGGTGAAACGCGTCCTGGATGAACAGTGAGCAGACTATACTGTCTTTTGGACTATAGCCACAAGTGTTGATTTATTGATATAGTGTATTTTTTATATTTATGTAATACTTTTTATACAATAAATTATATATATATTTTTTATCACACTTACGGCTTTCATTCCTACCTGCTATTACAAAGAAGGATTGTGGTCCTTAACCACATACATCTTATGAAGCGAGCCGATACATTGGCTCAGGGTTTGTGAGTATATTGGTATTGTTCATTCAATATACCTTATATACATCAGACTGTACTACGCTATTTTCTCCTCCTATACCTATTACCTAGGGCTATATACCTGGAGACCATTTGGACGAAAAGGAGGGGAAGGGTCGCCTCTACGGACCCTAAGGCGCACATACCTGAGCTAGTACATTAGCTCAGAAAAGTGTGAGTGAGTTATTTATGCACTTTATTTTTTACATTTTGTATACAGGTTACACTATGTTTTGTATATTTGTGCTTTGTATTTAAGGTATATCTGACTACTCTGGATTATCCATTAGTATATATTATCCATCAAGGTACAGCAAGGTTTTCCTTTATTTGTTTTCTTTTCATATCCACTAATATAGAGCGCTACACCGATACTTCCCACTTTTCCACGATTTTCTTATAGAAAGATAAGCACGGTGATATAGCAGCTCACATCAAATTTGTTCGATATAATTTCAATCTTAAACTTTATATAGAAGCGCTTGTACTTTCCATTTTTTTATCTATCTTTGAACATTAGCCCATTGTGTTCAGTAATTATATCACAGGCAGAGGGGAGGATTTTGTGTGGGAGTGTCTGAGTGTATTGTATGTATTGATTGGTTGTACTTCAAAACCCTGTGGGTGGTACTATGTTTGTAGAATGGGGATAAAAGCAGAGTGTTTGAATAAAAGTTCAGTTCTACTTCACCCTCAATTTGGAGTGCCATCTCTTATTGGGGGAACCTGCTACAAGGGATTGCTATGCTATTTATACTCTCTTGCTATATCACTACTAAGCTCTTGTAAGAGCTTGTTCCTGTTTTTGCTCTCTGAAGGAGTCTACGGTGGTTATGGTGTCGGCTGGAGTGCTTGAAGCCCTCAGGAAGCGCTAGAAGCATCCTTCAACGGAGGTACCCAGTCGGGGTGCCAGGTGACCCGTTACAGCCATAATAAAACGCTAGGCATTATCCCTGACAATAGACACCTTATCAAGCCACAGTGGCTATCTACTATATATTTTAGGCAGAGCAAGACTGTAGCTATTTGTAGTACACAGTTCCTAACAGCCTTTTTGACCTTTTAGTGGCTTGTGTCGACACACATGTTTATAGGTGTGCTGAGGGATTGTTAGGTGGGACCCTAGGTTGCAGTATTTTTTCCTTGGTTTATAGTGGATACATACTCTATGGCAGAGGCAGCTCTAGACTTTATGAGGCCTTAGGTGAAACTCAAACATGAGGCCCCACTAACAAAAAAGTGAAAAAAATAGAGTTGCAATGCATGAACACTGTCACATATACACATTGATGCACAGTTTACCTGTGTATGTGCCTGACAGTGTGTGTGACAGAAAGTATCCTTGTGTGTGTGAATGTATGTCTCTGTGAGCATGTTTGCGGTTTTGTCTGGGACCGTATGTGTATGGGGTAGCAGCTTGAAGTGTGTTGTGTGTATGGGGGGTCTGCCTGTAGCCTTTGTGCATTGTGTTTATGCAAAGCTATGTTTCCTGACTATGTGTGTATGATGAATATCTTCAGCTGGTGACTGTGACAAGGTGAGTAAACGGGTACCAGTGGCAGGGAGAGTGTTACAGGACGTAGGGGGTAAATGGGACAGGGTGTGGAGCGGGGGTTGTGAGAGAGAATGAGGGAGTATGACATGGTTTGATGAGGAATTGTGACAGGGCTAATGGAGGTAAGTGTGTCAGGGCAATTGTGGCATGGTAGGAGGGACGAGTGTAACAGGATTAAGGGGGGTTAATGTGACAGGGTGAGTGTGGCAGAGTGAGGGCAGGTGAGATTAACAGGATTAGAAGTGGTTAATGTGAGTGTGGATGCATGAAGATGCTGAGACTGTGGGGGGTGATGACAGTGTAGGGAGGGGTGACAATGAGTGGGGAGGTGACAATGTGAGGGGATGATAACAGTGTGTCTGGGGAGGCTGTGTATAAGGGGGGTGATGGTGAGAGGTGGTGACAGGGAGAGGGAGGTGATGGTGTGAGGGGGATGATGTGAGAGGGAGGGGGTGATGTTGAGGGGAGGGGGTTGGATGGTGAGGAAGGGGTGATGGTGAGGGGAGGATTGATGGTGAGGGGGTGATGAGGGAGGGGATGATGGAGAAAGAGGGGGGTGATGTGGGTGTGAGGGGGGATGATGTGGAGAGGGAGGGTTGGATGTTGAGGGGAGGGAGGTTGATGGTGAGGGGGATGATGCTGAGGGAGAGGGGGTGATGCGGAGGGGAGGGGATGATGTGGAGAGGGAGGGGGGTGATGTGGGTGTGAGGAGGGATGATGATGAGAAGCGAGGGGGTGATGCGGGATGTTGAGGGAGGGGGTGCGGATGCTGAGGGAGGGGGGTGAGATGCTGAGGGGAGGGGGTTGATGGTGAGGGTGGGTGATGTTGAGGGGGGGGGGGGTTGATGCTGGGGTATACTAAAACATATAATTTTAAAAAGGCAACTTCTATAAGTTAAGGGCAGCTTTACAATATATTGACTGGCATAAACTCTTTAGTGAAAAGAACAGTGAGGATAAATGGAACATTTTCCAACAAATATTAGAAAGGAACATTTCTCAGTATGTACCACTGGGTAATAAATATAAAATAAACTAATTAAAACCAATGTGGCTTAGTAGAGAAGAAAAACAAGAGCTTAAAAATAAGAAAAGGGCATTTAAAGCATTTAGATCAGACAAATCAGATGCATCCTATAAAATATATAAGGAAGCCAATAATGCGTGCAAAAAGGCGATTAGATTTACTAAACTTCAAAATGAAAAAATGATAGCCAAAGAGAGCAAAACCAACCCCAAAGCATTCTTTAAGTACATAAATTCTAAATAAAAACAAAAAATGAAAATGTAGGTACACTAAAAACTGAAATGGGGGTGTTAGTTAATGAAGACCAGGAAAAGGCAGGAATTTTAAATAACTTTCTCCTCCGTATATATTACGGAAGAACCCATGGCAATTGATGTGCAAATGATTGCTACTAAAAACTTGCAGAATAATTGTAATTGGTTAACTCAAGACAAGGTGCTGCAGCAACTAAAGAAAGTTAATTTAAACAAAGCTCCAGGGCCTGATAGTTCCTTAAGTACTCATGGATGGGTACCAAGTGTAGAAATAAGTGAACCTCTGTTTTTAATCTTTCAAGATTCTTTTCTTTCAGGAAGTGTTCCGGAGGATTGGAGGAAGGCAGGTTCCTATATTCAAAAAGGGTTCAAAATCCTTGCCTGGAAATTATAAACCTGTGAGCTTAACTTCTGTGGCTGAGAAAATATTTGAAAGGTTATTAAGGGATAACATTCAAGAATTCCTTGAGAAGAACATGATTATCAACAAAAATCAGCATGGTTTTATGAAGCACAGGTCATGTCACACTAACTTGATTGCGTTCTACGCAGAAATAAGTAGAAGTATAGATCAGGGTGTTGCAGTGGATGTGATCTATTTGGATTTTGCCAAGGCATTTGATACAGTTCCACACAATAGATTAGTGTTCAAACTCCAGGAAATCGGTCTCGATGAAAATGCTTGTTCTTGGGTAGAACATTGGCTTAAAAGTAGAGTACAAAGAGTTGTCATTAATGGTACATTTTCAAGCTGGACAGAGGTGGCAAGTAGTGTCCCTCAGGGTTCTGTTCTAGGACCCCTTCTATTTAACATGTTTACAAATGATCTTGAGCATTGAAAGTCATGTTTCAGTGTTTGCAGATGACACAAAACTTTGTAAAATAATACAATGTGAGCAAGATATTATGTTGCTGCAGAGGGATTTAGATAGACTTGGGGACTGGGCACTCAAATGGCAGATGAAATTTAATGTTGAAAAATGCAAAGTTATGCACTTCAGCATAAAGAATACACAAGCAACATATACCCTTAATGGAAGCAAATTAGGGATAACAACACACGAAAAGGATTTGGGAATTCTTTTAGACAACAAACTATGCAACAATGTGCAATGTCAATCAGCAGTGGCTAAGGCCAGTAAGGTATTGTCATGCATAAAAAAGGACATTCATTCTCGGGATGAGAATATCATTTTGCCTCTTTATAAATCACTGGTAAGTCCACATATAGAATATGCTGTGCAATTTTGCCACCTGTTCTAAAGAAGGATATAATGGAACTAGAAAAAGTGCAGAGGCGGGCTACAAAAATTAATAAAAGGAATGGAACATATCAGCTATAAAGAAAGATTAACAAATTGAACCTCTTTAGTTTAGAAAAACGTCTCCTTAGAGGGGATATGATAACATTGTACAATATATTGGGGTCCAATACAAACCATTTTTCTCCCTTTCCCCAGGGTCCAGTGGGATTGCTGGGCGGTTGGCGCTGGCAAGGGAGCACTGATTAGTGAGCTCTCAGCTCAGCTCGCGCGACGTCATATTATTATTATTTTTTTGGATAATCAAGTGCGCGACGTCATATTATGGCTCCAGGTGACTGGCATCACTCTGCAGCTCACGAGGGAGCTGAACAGAGAGCTCACTAATCAGTGCTCCCTCGCCAGCGCCGCCCGCCCGATCGGATTTTTAGTTAGCCGCTAGGCTAACAAGACATTTGCCCTGGGCATTTGGGGGCGACTTTTTTTGCCGCCCCCTGGAAAGTGCCGCCCAAGGCAAATGCCTTGTTTGCCTCGCGGCTAATACGTCCCTGTCTACACCGTAGATAGCTATTTCTACTTACTTTGTCTAATCATATCTCATCAAATACAGCTTTTTAGTCCACCCTGCTAGGTGTGAAACATACCATTTGTATCTGTATGTAATATCACAAGCACATATCTGATTGGTCTAGGTGTAATAAAGACCACATTTTTTTTTATCTTGTTTTGTTACTGATGCATCCAATCTATTAATACCCCCTTTTATAGATCCTAAACTTCAGTGACCTACAAGCCACTGTGGTTTAAAAAGGTGTCTCTTGTGTAGTGACACTTTAAGGGTTACCATCTGTTTATGAGAGTTACAGTCTTTATTATTTTAGGCACATTTATTATGTTTCAATTATTACACCTGATACCATCTCTTTTCACAGCTAAGAAGATATTGAACATATTTTTGTGATTTTAGCTATTTGATTCTCATGGGTGTCCTCCGGGACAATTAATGAATCTGTACCTAGATACTGGGTTTTTAAAAATATTAATCCATCTCCTTCTTTTAATATTGTTGACGACTCCCCAGGATATTTATCTGAGGACAGTCACTATGACAATCTTGTAGCCCAGGCTCTACCACGTTTGATCTTATTGTTTAGTACAATCTTGTTTTAAAATTAGCTCTTTTTATGGAGGATCCTGCACTCATAAGGGATTCTCTAAGACTTCAATGCTGTACTCTCATGCATGTGCAAGAGTACAGCAGTCACGTCGGCTCCTGACACATGAAGTGCGAGGAGCAGACTGAAGACGATGGTGGCGCTTGCAAAGGACAAGGTTCAGATAAGTAAAACTCACCTTTTATAAATAAAATCTAAAATGTAGTGTAGAAATTGAAATAGCAATATTAAAAGGATACTATGGCACTTGCGCTTCCCTTGCCTCGCCCCTCCCTTGCGTCCCAGTGGTTTGAATAAAGGGTTAAAAACCACTGGGTCGTGGTTCCGCCTCCTCCTCTGTCCCTTGACAAGCGGAGGCAAATACGCATGAGCAGTAAATTCCGCATAAGCATTAGACCTCTTCATAGGAAAGCAAATAATCAATGCTTTCCTACTGGGAAAAATCTGACGCTGGGTATCCTCATTCAAATTGTGAACGGACCGTTTCAATCCAAGAAGCTCCCCCAGTGGCTGTGTGACAGACAACCACTGGAGACAGACTTAGTGTAAACAGTTTTTCTGGAACTGCAATGTTTTACATTGCAGCACTAAGTGCAAATGGGACACAGCACCCAGACTACTTCAATTAGCAGAAGTGGTTTGGGTGCCTATGGTGTCCCTTTAACTTTAAACCTTAATTTTGAAATGTTTAAGTGTAATTTCAGTGCAAAGTAAATTACAAAGTACACTACACAGCAAAACATACAAGTATAATTATTTACGCATAAGTGTAAATCTGTACAGCAAAATATTCCCATGCCAATATTGGGAATAGGACTGAAAAATTTAATATAATGGGGCTCTGTATAAAATGAGGAAGCCCATTAGGATATTTCTATTAAGATACCCTGTGGATATATTATTATTGTTGTTTTTTATTTATTTGGTTAATTCTTTACATTATTTTGATTTAATAAATAAATGTTGTTTTCCACTTCCTTTAGAACTTTCTTTATCTCAGCATTGGGGAACCTCTCCCTAAAAAAGACATACTGCAAGTGGAAATAGCTTAATCTGTGGCTCTGGGACATGTCAGTGTTTTTCTTTATCTTTGCTATTTATGTGGTTTTAAAACAAATTACACTATGTTTTCCATTTACTTCTTTCCTTGAGGAATACACTATCACCACCACAAGGGGGAAGGAGTCAGCCTGCAAAAGGCTCTAAGGCGATTAAATAGAGCCAAATTTGAGGCTCTATTCATTGTGAGTGGACATCCATAAGGGGGGCTTTTGGTGTTATTAATATATAAATGTATCATACAATCTGCTCTATTATGTATTAATCTTATTTTTAAGGTGAAAAATTCTATTGCTGCTAAGTATTGTATAATATAACACCTTTTATTTGGTTTATGCATCAACACTTTGAAGGTGACATTTAAAATGAATTGGCACTTATATGCAAATAGCCCTTTACTTATATTTAATGCATTTTGCACTGATTTACACTAAATTGATTGTGTTTTTGCATTAGCACTGTATAGGTGATTCTGATTCTAAGCTTTGCACTTATACACAAATAATTATATGTGTGTACATTTTACATATTGTGCACGATAACATTAGCTTTGCACTGGATTTCCCCATAAGCACTTTAAAATTCAGGTTACAATTTTAAATTGATAAATGAAGAGTACACTATGTTTTAAATTGTATTTGGTGTTGGAGAAGACATTTTGATAGTGTCCAGCAGCCAATTAAATACATTTATTAATATTAATTTCACATTAAGAATAACATTTAAGCAAATTTATACCCTCTTTATTCTAAAACTCATCTTTGCTTGCCCCCACCAACGATATCACTGTCAGGGTCTTTGTAAATTATGCAAAGTCCCCAGATGGTGACAGACCGGATTAAGGGTGATTAAGTGCCAGGACTCTTAGCCAGTGTTCTCTGTAGTCCAGTCAGCTTCCATCTTCCCATCTGCCCACTAACATCCTCTCACACAGGAAATGCCTTGCACAAGGAGTAGGAACATCATTTAGTGTTGCACAATGTATCATTGCCACTGCAGCTTAACAATAACTCATATGAGGTTCACTGAACTACAGAAGACAGAAGGCACTTTGATAATTTCCCTTCAAACTCCACCCTTTTCCCTAAGTCTACAGTTAACCTCCCCCAAAACATTAACTAACCATTAGTTCCAAATGTGAGCAGTATCAAAATACAAAATAAATAAAAATCTATATTTTGTAGATCTACCTTAAATGAAAACATGCATGTATTTAATTATGCATGTTTTCATTGTATGTATATATAAAAACAGCTTGCAAAACCTACCTGCAGATCTCTTGTCTGCATCCTTTGCAAGCCCTCCCCTTCTAACCCCATCTATACTTTATTCGACTGTCCAATCACAGACTTTCCAAATGCAGCTCAATGAAAAGTCTTTCTAAAGGAAGGTGCTGTTGGCAAGTGCTGCCTTTTGAGTTTAGCTCCACTGAGCTAACTAAACCAGGAAGTAACAGGACCTATCGTGTGTTTGAAAGTCAGGGGGTGTAACCATTTTAATTCATGAAAGTGTCATTTGCTATTGAAATTTGCACTGTTTGTAAAATTATAAAAAGAGGACACATTAGCCTGAGCAGCAGTTGGTGTCTGTAATTGGCTGAGAATGCTAGCTTACCACATTCAACCTATCACAGTGCCCATTCAGGTATGAATAGGTATGGCTAGAAGGAAGTTCTTAATCTGCCTTAGTTACACCTCCAGTAGGGCTGGGCTGTGGGTGGCTAGGGACACTGTTGTAGTGTTAAACTGCTCAAAAATGGTTTAACACTAATGGAGGGACAAAGCCAGGGGACTCCATGCACTATAACCAGTTTGATGAGATGATATTATGTTATGCTTACAGTGTCCCTTTAATTATTTGACATACCTTTTTAATACATTATCAACATAATGCATTGAAAAATGTGGTCAGCTTCAGCCTGCAGTGTTCCTTTAAATACTTCCAATATTGTGTTTTAATATATACCAAGGGGGCAAACAAGTATTTCTGTGTCTGTATAACTAATCCTCTGAGCAACATGTACCTCTCTCTCTCATTGTTGCACAGGAAGGTCCCATACTCAGAGCTGTACACATGCTTTGCCAACATGCACAGGAAAGCTTCATTAAACTCCATCGACTGAGGAAACTGTCGTGTAAGCTGCCAGCAGCAATCCAGAAAAAGCATAAAATGGGGTGACTCATGCTGAGAGCGGCTCTGGGACCACCCCAATCTGGCACACCGAAGCTGAAAAGGATGTCCTGCCTGCATTAAACAGAGTGAGTCAATATTATACAGGATTTATACTGCTCTAACATTTTGCAGGATGTAACTACAAACATCAATCCTCCACACAGAGATATCTATGGTTATAGCAGGTCAGGGAGTTTATTTAACCACAGAATTGTTACCTGTAACCACTCACGCTCAAGAAGGTCCTGAAATCCTTCCCATGTACGACACTCAGGTGACATAATAAGCTGAGCAAGAGATGTCATCAACAAGGTGTTGTCAGTTCCTTCCTCGCCGTGGACAAGCACACATGCACCCTCCCTAAAATGTATCGAATACAGAATTTTGAGGTTTATTTTCTATGGCAGTTATTTTGGGCTAAAGTTTTAAATTCTCCCCTTCCCCCATTCCCCCCGTTGACTCTCTGCTATTCCTGATTCATCCCAACAACTGTCTCTTTAAGTCGCACTATCACCATCAGTGGACCTTGTCAAATTCGCAAAGACCTGGGCGGTGACTTAGCTGCTCGAAGATCTAGTGGCTGGGGCAGCAGATAAAGGTGTGCATTACTTACCTGAACCTGTCCCTCGCAGGCACAGCCATCTTGATCCAGTGGGTCCTCTTCGGAGCCAACATCACTGCTGTACTCTCACACATGTGCAAAAGTACAGCATTGAGGTCTGTGGAGTTTCCTGTGAGACTCTCCACAGACACATCCAGTTCCCTGCAGACGTCACTGATGACGGCTGATGGGATTGGCACTTAGACTCTGCACTGAGTCTGGGAAAGTCAGGAGGAGGAGAAATACAGAGACAAAGTGGTCACCACTTTGTCCAATGTATATTTCTTGATTGGTTTGGAATTCCAGTGAAAATCTAACACAATCAAAATGAGTATTTCATAAAGATTCTATCTTTATGAAATACAATTTTTCCTGCTTAAGTAAATACAAGGCAGTTTATTTATTTAAATCAGAATTGTGGAGAAAGGATACTGGAATTGCAAATTTTAGGCCAAAGTTACTGAGCATGAAACAGGTGCTTGGTCAAGTTATTTTATATCTCACTTTTTGTACTACCTCCCTCTTTCCAACATCTGCCATCCCATATAACTCTTCCTATATAGTCCACCTCACCTTTCAATACACTCAGAAATTAGGCCAGCAATGCTTAAAGCTTCCTTGACATTAGACATCCAGCGAGAAGCCTGTAACCTGCTAAGCCAACGGTTCATCAATTGAGAGGGCTCATAGCATGCAGTCACCAATCGAGTTAAACTCTCTTGCAAAGCTTGTCCCCTAAGAGAGTACAGAGACTATTCAGTTGTGCATCAAAGTAAGAAAGACAGTTATATCATATACCACACTTGCTTAACTCCCTCATGTATACATATCCACCTCACCTCTCTAGTGGTCGGTGTAATATTCTCCAATTGGGATACCTGGACTTTTTCTCTGTGCCACCACCTGCACTTCGGGCCTGTTTGGCTTCCTGTGCAGAGCGAGTGTCAATAATAAATCCTGGCAATTCCCCTACCAAAGCTTCATCTAGCAGAGCGTTGTCTTCCTCACAGCATCGACGAGAAGTGCCAACCATAGGTTGAGCACTACGTAACAAGACCTGAGCCACACAGAGAGAAAATTAAACATTACCCAGTTTGGAAATCATGTAACTCACAGAATTGTGCTAAACTGGTATCCGAGTGGCCAATCTAAGACTAAAATAGCAGCTAGCTAAGCTGTAAAATTTCTTTTTCAGATCAGCTATTTTAGTCTCAATTTTGCTATCCAGATTTCATGGCTGTATTATTTGTAATTTAGTGAATAACTCAGACTAATTTAAAGAGAGGATTTGGAGGAAGATGATCATTAAGGCTGGAGAAAAGGAAAGGGCATGAACCCAGTAAATAGAATCCGAAATATTATACAGAACAGAGAGATACAGCCTAATAACGTTTGAAATATAAGCTTTATTTTCTATTCAATAGAAAAAACATCCGTAAAATACAATCTTAAGATTCAAATCTAGTGTGTGTCTTTATATAGCCTCAGGAATAGGATATCAGATAAGTCAAACCTTTTACTATCCTTAAGAGTTATAAGGATATACCAAATATCAAAATCTTGAAAATCTAAATTATCTTGAACTTCTAAGGAGAACAGTAAGGAGACTATGAAATAAAAGTGAGAGAGAGCAAATAGAGAAATAAACAAAAAGGGGGGTGGGGGAATATAACATGCAAAACTTGCTAATAGCTATTCTGTGCCTTCGAGGGCACCTATGCTAAATCCCTCTCCCGCCTGTTCTTACAATATCCTAAGGCTACAAATATAACCCAAAAAGAAATGAGGAAAAATAATCAAAATGTAAAGTAAACCAACCAAAATGTAGTTATGATAATAATAAAATCGGAATGAAACCCTGTGTATGATCCAATCTGATTGCTAGCTAATCAAGCATAATAACTATTGGCAGTGAGTCTCAGTGCACAGCACTACCCCATATTGACAATGATCACACATTGAGTATATAGAAGTCCTGACACGCGTTTCGCCACAACCGTGCTCTTCAAGTGGAGTCTATTCAGTGATTAGTTGTGAGATCATCGATACCAGAGTTTGATTTATTTGATGTCCTATTCCTAGGGCTATATAAAAACACACATTAGATTTGAATTTTAAGATTGTATTTTAAAGATGATTTTTCTATTGAATAGACAATAAAGATTATATTTCAAACGTTATTAGGCTGGATCTCTCTGGTTCTGTATAATATTTAGTGAATACCTCTTTGAATGTAGGTGAGCCCTGGTCCTATTATCTTTTCAATATAACTTAAGAGTATTACTATAGAAAAATAATTATTACTCATGACCATTGTGAACATTGACACAGAAGAGAGAATTGAGGAGCAAAGATTGGAGACAGTGTTTTGAAGAACTTACCATTCCATTGGTACGGTGGTAGTAGCACAGGATGGGAAATCTGCCACCCTGTCTAAACTTTGCTGCCTTTTTCAAAGTGTCATCAGAGCAAGATCGTGGTACTATAACCTTTGCTGGGTAACTAGGACAAATTTTAAATTCTTCATTCACTTCACTCACACGCCAGGCGTCAGTCTGAGACAGGAAAAACATCAGTTTGTGAGATCCTTGTGATGGTATTGTACTATGCACAACAGATGTGAAGGCATATAATTAGCATGTTATGTTACCTCTGCTGCAAACCTCTGGTAAAAGTTTTCTGTAGTATCTCTTGGCCAGCCTTTCCCCAATATGCAACCAAGTGGTCGGTGAAAAAATGGGTAAGTCAGAGTAATGGAATTTAGTGAGGATAAAGCCTGTGGATAAAATAAACACACATCAAACAAGACACAACCAAGTCCCAAGACACGTACACATTTAAACAACATAGTAATGATGAACAGATAAATCCATGTCACACTTGTCAGGACTCCACATTAAAAATGGATAACGTTAGTAAAATGATTCATTGCTGCACTACTTGTAGGTTACTTGTAATTTTGGCAATGGCCTCCTTGTTAAAATCTGTTTTTTTAGTAAAGAGAGTCGGAAAATCCATATTTCACTAGTAAATTCATTGAATGTTTTAAAAGAATGCCCATTTCTACTATATTTTTGCCCTCATCGTAGAGCAGAAAGAGAATCAAAAATATATCTCATTGACCAACACAGACAACTCTCATCTCTCTATACCTCTTCTTGTATAACCACAATAACTAAACTCTGTGTCACTAACCTGTACAGACCGTGCAATATTTAGCGTCTCCTCCATGCCTGGAATTTCCAGATGTATGACTCTTAAGTCCTTACATTTTAAGGTGACTGTTCCCATGCCAGACTTCACTGTCCCGTCATGTCCGTAATCCGTATTTTGAAACATACCAATATTGAAGACACTGCAATAAAAAACTGATCAACGTGGGGTGCTCCATGTCTACCAAAAGTATGTGTTTTGCTTGTAATGCCTACCAAAGCACCATACGTGCTTGGTTTTGTATGCACAGCACAGGCAGAAAGCTGGGATCCTGCATTGCATGACCATGTCTCCAAGTGCTAATACATACCTTTTCTCTACTGTATCTACGTCAGAATGTAGCAGCCAGAAATCAGATTCTTCTTGCTTTGTACCTTTTTCAGCAACTGGGCATAGCAGTAGGTGATGACTGGAAACACATAGGGTTCCAGTCATGGTGGGAAGCATAGGACAAGACACACGGACATTGTCCACTTGGGAAGTCTGTATAAGGTCAGACAGTTCCATGTGAGGATATTAAGTGTGACAGAGAGGCAGAAGTCTCTGTTTTACAAGATGCAAAGAGGAAATCATGAGCTGAGTTGATGCAATGTATAAGAGGGAAGTAAACACTTAAGCAGAGTGGGTGGGTGATATTAAAATAATAACATAAAGTATAGAAAATAACACTACAAATAACTGTATCACCTGTACCCTCCAAGCACTGGGAATGTCTGCCACAATGAAGGCAAAGATTCAGAAAGAGACAGTTAGAAATATGAAATTGTACACCCTAAAAGTACAAATCTGTCTGACTGTCCCTTTATAGCTGACATTACTCTGTAAAGGAGAGCCTTAATCTATCACTGTGAGCCTGTAGAGACACGAGGAGGTGATATGTTACTTTCTAAAGAAGGAAGTTGTGGTTCTTCTGACACAGATGTCAACAACTGCGCGTTGATCTAGATATTAACGCTTCCCGTGCTGGATCCTACCATTACACTCCTTGCACTGTACATTTACCCCTCTGATTCTCAACCTGTCAGGGACCTGCAGAGCTCAACACACCCCATTTTACACTACACCGCATTTCACAATGCAGCATTAGAGATTGTTCCTTTCTGTTTAGCTACATCTTGGTGAGAGCCACATCCTTTAATGTTACCCAGCAGAAGGCCATAGTCTTAAACGTACAGCACGTTACACTTGCTAGAGTCACATCCTGCATAGCGCTCTCTGATGGAGCTTCCTGCTCTATAATGTTATAGTACAAAGCATTACATCCTTTAGTATTATGCTACATTTTTTTTTTTGTGGCTTTCAAAGATTAACCCCCTCACAACAAATGATGTGCTAGAACTGGTCATGATACAATCGATTTGCCTAACTTTGTCTTAGCACCAACAACTCATCATCAGGTAGCCTGAAAAACATCAGCTCAGTGTCTATTTCAATACTCAGAAAGGGCAGTTGAGTGCTAGGGCCCTCCGTATTCTCCACTGCTATGAGAACTATAGCCATTCCATCTCTCTAAATCGCTTATTGCACCTGGAGTCCTCTGGCACTGTCCCTCCATTCAGTGTTAAACCATTTTCAAACAATTTAACACTCAATAAGGGTCCCTGGTTTATCACAGTACAGACCATACTGCTTGTGTGGCTAAAGCAGAGATTATACGTTTCCTTCTAGCCATTCCAATTTGTACCAGCAGTAGGTGCAGTGATAGGGTGAAAGTGGTCAGCTGACACTCTCAGCAAATCACAGCCCATATCATTAGCCCAAGCAGCGGGGCAACTTGTCCATAGGGGCACATGGGCCAGTGCCCCACCAGATCCTTTTTTTGGAGGGGAGAATGGTAAGCCAAAAATATTGGGGAACATTAGTGTCTCTTTAATTCTGTAAAAGGTTTTAGTTTTGCAGGGGCTCTCCACCTCATTAGTAGCTGTTTGGAGAAGCTTTCTCAAAAGAATCTTAGGCATCGCAAAAATGGGGCAGGTCTCACATAAATCTAGTCTCCTTTAAGAAGGAGTTTCTGGAATTTCCATTGAGTTGCCATGAGTGGAGACAAGGTATTGGTCTCTCTATTTAAGGGCCATCATTGGCTCATAGCACCAGTGGTTGAGGTTACAGGAGAGTGAAGCAAGAAGCCATCTTGGAAGCAGCAGAGGGAGAGCACAACAGCAGTAGCTGCTGGCCCCTGCCAAATGTAAGTGTATATCTGTTTCTCTCCCCCAATAGCCATATAGACTGCCTGGGAGCTAATTAAACGGATACTATAATGCCATGAATACAAAGCTGTATTCCTGGCACTATAGCTCCCCCCACTGCGGCGAATAAATGGTTGAAAGCTCTTTATTTACTTATCTGATCCCAGTGCCGATGTCCCTCGGCACTGGGTCGCGGATCTGCCTCATACGACGTCACTCAATCAATCCTTTCCTATGACCAGCCTTTCCACAATATGGGGAAATAGCTGACACTGGGATGTCCTCATATAGAGCGTGAGGATGTCCAGCGTCAGTTAGCGTACCAAAAGTTGTGTAGGATTCCTGAAGTGTCTCTAGTGGTTGTCCGGTAGACAGCCACTAGAGGCTGTCTTAGTGCTGCAATGTAAACATTGCAGTTGCAATGTTTTACGTTGCAGCACTAAGTGCAATAGGGACACTGCACCCAGACCACTCCAATGAGCTGAAGCAGTCTGGGTGCCTATAGTATCCCTTTAAGCAGGGGAATTTACTCAAATATAGAATTAATGTTCATAAAACCAGGGAACCCAGAGAGGACATGGGAAGGGGCACATTTCTGGCCCAAAACCATGTATTCCCAGTCACTAATAACTCCTACTGCGCACTATTCTTTAAAGAGTTCAGTCACTCTATAGCTGAAACACTCAAGTTGTGCCTAGGTGAAAAGTTGTGAAGCTTCAAACTGCATGACTGGGCTGTGACTCTAAGGACTGATCTGTTTCTGATCAGTTTTAATCTGTAATCATTGTTAAGTCTGTTACCATGTCAGCTACTTGTTGGCTCCATATTACCACTGCAGATTCATTATATTGCCAGCTGCAAAGGTAATAAGGAATCATCTTGTTGCTTAAACCTTGTGCACACTGTGTGCTGAGAGCTAATAGTAAGTCAGGAGTAGCTGACATGGTTGGAGTATCTTCATGCTGTATCCCTGAACACACTGTGTGCGTAGAAGTTGACAGGTTTCATAACAGCAGCAGTCATAGGCGTGCGCAGCCTATTGCATTAGGGTGTGCACCCTAAGGCACAAACACACACGCCGCGTATATATATATATATCTACCGTATCTATATATATATATATATATATATAGATAGATATATATATATTTATATACACACACACACACACACACACACACACACATATACATACATACATACACTACTGTGTGTGTGAGGGTGCTGTGTGTGTGAGAGAGTGCTGTGAGGATGCTGTGTGAATGTGTCTAAGGGTGCTGTGTGTGTGTGTGGGTGTGTGTGTGAGAGGGTGCTGTTAGTGTCCTGTGTGTATAAGGGAGTTGTTAGTGTGCTGTGTGTGTGTGTGTGTGAGAGAGGGTGCTGTTAGTGTGCTGTGTGTGTGCTGTGTGTGTGAGGGTGCTGTTAGTGTGCTGTGTGTGAGGGTGCTGTGTGGGGGAATTTGTTTGGAGTGATTGTGTGTGAGGATGGGGGGACAGATTAGGAAATAGCCGCCTTCTTACCTTTTGCTTGGGAAGGGGGATCCTTGCTGCCATCCCTGATCCCTGGTGGTCTTAGTGATGAGAGTGAACTCTAGCCTGCACTCTGACCTCGCAAGAGAAACCTGGCAGAGCTGCTGGCTAGAGCTCCCTGGGTCCTCTCCTGCCTCTGGGCTGGTGAGGGAGATCTTTGATCTCCACATCGGCCCATGGAGGCACACATCAAGACCAGCGCTCAGATAGCGCTGGCTCTGCATGGACCGACAGAGGAGCTCCTGTGATCTCCCCTGCCGGCCTCGATGCATGCGCGGGCCGCAGACACACCCCAGGCACATGCCTATGGCAGCAATAATTGTTTCTATTTGAAGAGTTTATAACATTTTTGATTATGCATACAAAGACAAATAAATATAGAACAGTGAGAGAATATGTTGTACAGTATAGATGAAGGCAGTTATGTTACATTCGTGAATATCTGATTTTTGTTTTTTTCTCTAAATTTGTTGAGAGACCACATCTAGTAAAACAAACAGTAAAACAAAGCTAGATAAATAAAGAACATTATAAGACTTTCACGGATGTCGTTACCGTAACACACAGGAAAGAGGATACCCACAAAATGAGGTTCCAAAAAGCCGTATTACCTGGCTTTAGAGTCAGGAATGGCCAAATGAAGGAATACACAAATACTGATACACGAAAAACAAGCCAGGTCAGGATGCCAGAATTTCTCAAAGTCAAACAAAAGCCAAGGTCAATAACAGGAAATCACAATAGAGTCGCTTAAAGCACTAAACGTGTAACTAAACAGAAACCACAATAGGGCAATGAGTAAGGGCCTAAACAGGCTTTAAATAGCTTCAAATGTGTTCTGATTGGTCCACATCATGTCTGCGACTCTATACAGCATAGGGTCGTCAAGATCAGTGTTCCCCAATACAGTCCTCAAGGACCACCAAGAGTCCAGGCATGGCCGGTGCAAGCATTTTTGGTGCCCTAGGCAAAAACAAATTTGCCACCCCATTTGCTTCACCCAATCATGTAGACTAACACACACGCTGACTTAAGTAGACACACACTGACCATGCAAACTGACACACACGCACTAACCGATGTAGACTGACACACACAGACTCATATGCACACATTGATCAATGCAGACACAGACACACTGACCCATGCAGACACACACACATACAGACAGACACACTGACCCATGTAGACACACACATATAGACACACTGACCCGTGCAAACTGACACACACACACACACACACTCACCCATGTAGACTGACACACACTGATCCATGCGGACACACACATTGACCCATTCAGACACTGACCCATACAGACACCCGATGACCCACACAGACAGACAATGACCCATGCAGACACACAGTGACCCATACAGATACACTGACCCATACAGACACACTGACCCATACAGACATACATTACACACATGACATACACACACACTGACCCATACAGACTGACATACATAAACATACTGACCAAGGCAGACTAACACACATTTTCTGACATACCTTACCTTCATTGCTGTTCGTTGCTTGCGCCTGGCTGCCTATCACATCCTTTCTCAGCACATTTCTTGTTCCTGTTATGCTCCCGCCTACTACTCCTCACGTACAGGGGAAGTGGTGGGAGAGAGGAATTAAAGCGCCTGTATGCTGCCGCCGATGCCACCGCCACCGCTACCGCAATGGATGCCTGGGAGGGACCTAACTCTGAGGGCTGTTGAGTATGCCGCTGGGCCGGTATTTTACCGGGAGCTAGTCAGCAACAATGTAAGTGCTTCCATGCGCCCGGTAAAATGGCCGGTGGCATACTCATAATAACTGATAAGCAGGTCCCTAGGCGGCCGCCTTGCTTGCCTATAGGGAGCGCCGACCCTGAGTCCAGGTTTTGTTAGTATCTCCATTGAAATAAAACACGGACACACATAAATCCTGAACTGTTGGTAGTCCATGAGGACTGGGTTGGGGAACACTGATCTAGAGGACATGGTCCATTTAAGAGCGAACGTGATGTCATGATTTTCACATCTATTTATCAATAAGCCCTTGGCGTTGGCACCTGAACGTATGTCAGCAGAGAGCAGCGGCTTGGCAACTACAGTTCCACAG